TGTGTGTGTGTTTGTGTGTGTGTGTGTGTTTGTGTGTGTGTGTGTGTTTGTGTGTGTGTGTGTTGTGTGTGTTGTGTGTGTCTGTGTGTCTGTGTGTCTGTGTGTCTGTGTGTCTGTCTGTGTTTGTTCTTGTTTTTGTTGTTGTGCGCGCTGCTTAGAGGATCTCCTACCTGCAAAAGACCAAAAAACCAAAAGCCGAAGAAGGTTTGTTTGCCATGTTAGTCTCCGAGAAACCCGTCTCGACCGGGATGAACTTTGGGAGAAGGCCCGGCTTTGCTGCTCGGCCGTTGGGCCCAGGTACCACCGGCGGTCGCAGAGGTCTTGGCTTCCGTGCTCGAGTTGCTCGGGTTGCTGGGAGCATCTTTCCCGAGCCGCTCTGCCGCAGCAGCTGCTGATCTATAGGCCGACTCTGCACGTGCTTTCTCTTCTGCGAATGGAGAGGCAGAGGTGCTCTCGTACGAAGCCGGCTTGCTCGTCTCCGGCACCGTCATGCTGATTGGAGCCGATTTCACAGGCTTTCTTCTTACTGCTCCCTCTGTCGGGAGGTAAGCTTTCAATTTGCTGGCGTGGGATCGCCAGAGCTTCACAGTTCCGATGCCACCAGCCAGCGTGCAAAACACCGCCAGGGAAACAATTAAAATCACAACTCCCACCGCGGTGCTGCTGGTCGACCCCTGTGTAACCACCACATCTCCACCAGTTGCAGCTCGGAAGTTGTAAGCTTGGGCAGGGAGATCCTGCAGCTTGCACAGTACAACCCCTCAAAGCCATCCATGTTGGTCTCCTTCTGCCAGCGACCAAAAAAAAAGGCACGTACCAAAGCTGGACCCAGCATCTGCACAAGGGTTTCCGGCAAAGTCCTTAGATCCATCGCTCAAGGGGAAGAACGGGGCCGCTAGGCAAAAAATTCCAAGGCTCTGTGACTGCACCGGCCGGCAACTCCAGCGTGTAGGTCTTCCCAGCCCTTGCAGCAAGAACAACGAGAAAAGACCGAGAAACAGTCGTTCGACTGTACCCTCTGCAGCTTCTGAAGAAGAGACTGCGACGCTGCGACACATCTGCCTGAGCAGGGTGTCCAGGTGGATGCGCAGCAGCGAGGACGAGATGATCTCAGCCGATGGCACCTCCGCTAAACTTGCATGCCCGACCCACGAAGCCTTAGCCCATTTCCACTCTCCACACCTTGAGGTCAATCGGCACCGATTGCACCGCGCTCGTGGCCCCAGTGCTATCCACCTGAAAGATGCGCCCATCCCATGACAAGCTGCAACTCTGACTCCAACGCTATCTTCACATATCTTCGCGAGATTGGTGGCCACATGCCCTGGAAGGTTATGCTTGCTCATGCTCTTGAACACGTCAGGAGACAAGGAAGGCCAGGTGAGGTGCCGCAGAACTTTGCAGCTCCATGCAGTCTGCACGAGTCTTTCAGTAGGCAGACTCAACTCCTAAACGCGATTGCCAGAAACGGCAAAGTCAACTCGCTCAGTCTGACCACTTCACGACGTTCTTCGCCCAAGCCTCCAGTCGGCTCAAGATGGCCTGCAGATCGCCCCCCACCGGCAGCATCACAGGCTCATTCCACAGGAGATTCACGGAGCCGTCCAACGGAACGGCAACCTCAAACGAAGACCGAAAAGCAAGTGCCCAAAGGCCGAAGCCAGGTGATGCAGGCAGGAGGCCGACAAGCCGTTCGGGTCGAAGTCGATGAGAATCGGAGGGTTCGTATCCAACAGCTCAAAACTGCAGGGCAAGTAGGCGAATCATGGGCTTGGAGCTTCAAGGGGCGAAAACTGAAACTGCATCCCAGTTCGCCTGTAGTCCTGCCTTTCCAGACCGGCAAACGGAATCTCGTCCTGCAGTCTCACAGGTGCAAGGTGGGTGCAGCGGGGCTTGGATCCCCCCTACGACCCGAAGACAAGCTGTGCAGGCCAATCGATGAGCTCGTCTGGCAACTTCAGCTACGATTGCTAGAGTAACCGCCTCAAGCCGAGAATACCTTCAATTTCCGTGCTGGACCTACAGGGGTCTTTCGATTCGCTCGGGACTCCCCTGCAGGGTCCTCGTCACAAATCGCAGTCGACAGAATCGAGATCCCGCAAGTCCTTACAAGATGCAAGCAGATGTCAGTAAGCCTAGTGCAAGCTTCTTCCTGACCTCGCAGACTCCAGCTGCACAGTGGACAGGTACCAGGACATGTCGATCGTCAAAGCCCCAGATGATATCTGCATGTGCCTGGTCGACGGCAGCTGCTTTGCGTTCTGGCATGCCCGAAGGACGTTTCGCAAAGCCAAGACACGTTCGAGGAACGCTCTGCTCGTTGACCTGAGACTGCTTTTCGTGGTTACGGGACTCCAAACTCGGGAACAAGCTGTGGCTTTACCCGGCAGGCACATGCCCGCTCGGCAGAGAACTAGGCAAAATTGGGCTGCTGAGCCACACTTCCAGCACACCAGAAGCTCACAGCGTCGGTCATGGAAGAGCCGCTGCACCATTTCACGTTCTTGGTGAAGCGCAGGACCTTGCAAGATGTCAGGAAGTACCGAAGTGTGCAACAAGACTTACAGGAACACTATGGAACACTGCTAAGCCAGCGGCAACTCGGAGGTCGGCACCGCTGCTGTGTGAGCCTGCATTGTGGTGTCTTGGGCCCCTGACCGAAAGTCCCCTTCATATCCCTTCATCCCGTTTGGGAGAGAACCACACCTCCCCTCTGTGGGTAGTAGCTTGCAAGAAGCGGCGGGTCAACATCACATCCTGCTTGTGTCGGGCAGGCAGTGCAGGAGGTGGAGGAGAGCAGGGAGCTCACACATCCGCTTGCCACGTCATCCCATGCGCAACCAGCAGACGCTGCGCATGAGCAGGGACTGGCAATGCCGGGGCAGGTTATTGTGGCACAATGCGCCTGCTGTGCACATAGGAAACAGTCAATGTGCCCCTTGGTGCCGACGTTCTCGCATACGCCTCCTCCCTGTGCATATGGCTTCCAGACGCAAATTTCTCCAGCCGCACATTCGCATGCGGTGGCCGCAGATGGACAGGGATCGACAGTTCTGGTTGTTGTAAACGTCGTCGAGGTGGCAGCTTGTAGACCTCGAAATTGATTGCTAGCCGAGGCCTGCACCAGGAGAAGAAGAGCCAGTCTCCTCCGGAGTCCGAGTCTTCTAGGTGCCATCTCTGTAAAGCCATGGCTCATTTGCGCAGCTCGCGCGAGGCCGCCTTTCCATGCCGCCACTACATGGCGGAACTTCCCAAACACTTACCAGGCCTGCCACGACCACATGCCAGAAACCAATATAAAAGGGGGTTAACGTGTGCTTGATACATCTTGAAGTCTTGAATTGTAAATCAAAACTGTCCATGATTGGCCACAACGCTTCGACCTTCTTTGCTTTTTGAGCCAATACATGTTAATCATCATGCCAACCCGGCGTCGGACCCTTGAGTCGCCGAGCAGCAGCTTTCTTGCCTTTCTTCCATTTAATCGCGACGGAGAAGATCTTGGGAAGCCACTTCGGCAGATGCCCACACCCACTGTCCGCACCGACTGCGCAGCTATCGACTTCAGGGAGTCTTCTTTGGCCGCGAGTATGTACACGTGGTTCACGGCAGAACAGGCTGTCGCGACTATGGCCGTGATCCAAGACTGTCGGGACTCGTTATCCTGCGGTGTCATAAGGGCACCAAAGGTGAAACCTTTGCCTTTCACTTCAAGACACGTCTTGGCAATTCACCTGGCACACAGTCTGGGCTTGCTGTCAGCTGCTACTGCTATGTCCCAGCCAACACTTAGGCCCTTAGGCGGTGCCATCGTCGGTTAAACCATGTTGGCAAGACCACCACACGGCAGTATCTGCCGGAGAACGCCTCGCAGCTCACAACAGGCGAGAGTTACGTTAGCTCGCTTGGGAAAGCTTTCAGCCTCTGCGATGGCATCGTTTATGTTCGACAAGGCGTAGCCTCACCCAAGCGGATGAAACATCTCAGCATCTTGATCGCACGCGAAGAGTTGGGACACGACTGGAGGGCGAGAGCACGGAGTCCAGCGGAAGCTCCTACGACATCCGCAACTTCGGAGACAGAGATTCTTGAGAATCCGAGGCTGTCCTCGCGCTGCTCGTCTAAGAACTTCACCTGGCTCCCGTTCGCGTGGCCCTACTCGAAAGGTCGTTGCCGGGAGCCCGGGTCGCCGGCCGCTTCCTCGAGGTTCCATGGGGTGTAGTTGTGCACCCCGCGGATTGTGAGGCACTGGCAGTCACTGCCGAGCAAAACGCGGAAAAAACACGCGAGGTTGAAATCTCGACACCTTCCTGATGATGGTCTCTCCAGTGAGTGAGGAAAGCTGCGAATCAGGATGTACCTTCCGCAGCGGCACGACGCCCAAGCTCGTTTTGCACGTGTGCAGCAAGCAGCAGCAGACTGAGCATGCTGACCATACCTGCAAAGGAATAGTGCCCGCCATTGCGTAGAAGTTGCACGCCCTGGGGCATCACCAGACGAAACATCTCGCAGCTGGCAGCAACTTACAAGTCTTCTCAGAAAACACAGTACAAAGCCTCGTGGATCACATTTTTGGCTCCGGTCATCTCAACAGCAACATCCACTCCGTGTGGGTAGTGCTTGCGTATGAAGCGCTGCCGCTCCCAGAATTCCTGCCGGCCGTCCGATGGCTCAGGCGAATGTGGGCGGGAGGCCAAAACTGCTTTCCACCTGCCTCCTCCCCACCTGTGACCAGCAGCGGGATGCCCCCGAACCTGACACTGGAAACCATGCAGATCAGTCAGCGTGTCTCAGTTGAGGATCCAACTGCTCGGCCGTCTTCAGGCGCTCCGAGTCCATATCGAGGCAGAAGACACTGAACAGCCGACCGTTGAAGAACGGGCTTCAAGTGGACTCATGAACACATCAGTTCACCGACACTCCAGAACTGCGTGTAGACACAGTGCATTCCGAATTCGGTACTGTGCTGCATATGTGGCAAACTTCACTTCAGAGGGTCGCATGCATGGAGGGGTAGCCAGAAGAAGACAACTACTGGTAGCAACATGCAGGCATTGCTTCTGGCCCTTCCGCATGCGTCGCTTCTCGCAAAGACATTGGCATCATGAGCATAACCCCTCAACTTCCTTGCCCATTTACCGACACGACACCCTACCTATGATACTTCCGAGGCTTTCCTGGGCTGGGCTTGGTGCGTCTGAAAAAGGATCCAGCGTTTCCTGGGCTTGGTGCGTCTGAAAAAGGATCCAGCGTTTCCTTTGGCTTGGCATGGGGTAGAAAACATAGGGCTTGGTTCCGTGTCTTTCCTCCAAGCTCAGCCAAAAATCTGCAATCCGATTTTTTTGCTAGCTTGCGCAGGCCTTAAGACCTCGGTTCAAGCTTTAACAACTGTTAGAGAGCTTGGCTGCTGCCGTCAGTCGTCTGCCGCTGTCTTCAACTCTCCCAGGCTGCTCGCTTTTAACTTCCAACTCAACCACGGGCTGTGGCTAGCATGCGCCTGTCCATGCCCACGCGCTTCTTCAACCACGCAACGGCGTAGATGCCAAGAAGCCCCACTCCTGCTGGTGGCCATGGCTTCACAATCGTCTGACCAGCAGGACAGTAGCAGCATCCTTGCACTACAGCGCTCTTGTTGGAGCCGTACCTTGTCACGGCATAATCAGAACAGGTGGACACAGCTTCTCAAGAAGACAGCATCCCCAACAATCCATTGTTTACTGTGGCCTGGGAAGCCTCGCCATGTCCAATGCGTTGACAACCTGATGGGCACAGTGCAGAATTTTACAGTGTTGGTGATGCACCTGCAGAGTGGCTTCGATGACAGCAACTGCAAGCCACATCACCCACTTCTGGGACAGCAGGTGCCGTTGTGTAGGTGTGAGACAGTGGCAAGAGCACAGTTTGCCGGGGCACAGACCTCAGTGATAAGCCCCGTCACATGACGAACTGATAATTGCATTGATGGTCCATGCAGAAGTATCCAAGCTGCAAGCACGCGAGCTGAGCGTGCTAGGAAGCTTCACAGCATGGGTCCTTTCGGCTGGGGAACAGTTTCAATCTTTTGAAATCCACTCTACCCAGTTGACAGGATCTTGCAGCAAAGCTGGAACTGTCCCCGGGCGAAGCAGAACATGCGTCGCGTACCTCGTGTCGTATATAACGACTAACGGAACCTGTCGCTTGATTGCATGACCTCGACAAGTCAACGGGTCACGTGCCGTTGAGGCCAGTTCCTTCCGACATGCGAGCGTGCCCATACCTGGCAAGGCGGGTCAAGCAGAACCAAGCTTTGTCGAAGAGCCTGGCAGCCGGACTTCATCAGCGACATGCATTTTTGCGGCAACCTCATTCAGCAAAAGAACATTCGTAACGTATTGCTTCCTTATAACGGCCGAGCACCAAACTTGTGCAGCGTGCATTCCGGACACATGCCGCAGGAGTCTGCGACACTGAATGTGATCCTGTCGCCCTCCTGGAGTTTCCAGCCACGGTGCCTGACCCGAAAGCACATCAACGTCACATTGCCTTACGCAGAATTCGCAGACGGAAGTTTCCAGCCTGGGACGATTGCCGCTGAAAATGTCGCTGCCGATCCTTTCGATGACACCGACACCTGAAGAAACCAGATTGCGAAAGGTGTCTAAGCACAGCGGAACAGCACCTTCGTGCCCAAGGACCAACGGCATCGGCTCCTGTCTCTTGCCACTGACCTTGCTTCCATGATCTTCTATAGACCATTTAGCCATTTTCAAGTATCCATTGACTACGTTACAGTCAGTAAGAGAAAGGCAGTGTGCAGATCACTCCCACAAATTGTGGCCACCTGGCAGCTCAAGCTGGAATGCCTGTGCTGAAACCTCTCTCTGCGCTCTGCTGCCTCCATTCGAACGAGAAGCTCGCCTTCATTTAGCCGTTCTGGAAGAGGGATCTGACAGGGAGATGCTTTTGCGATCTCCTGGCGGAGGAACTTTTGATTTTGCCTCTCGCAGCTCCATAGGCTTGCCGACTTCGTGGAAGACGGCTGCGACAGCTTTGGCCGCACATCCTGAGCAGAAACCCTAAACCACTACTACATTGCTACTACATCAGCAGAAACACGAATCATCCCAAGCATCACGCTCCCGCTGCCGGTGCCAAGTCTGCCTGTCAGGTCACATGAAAGTAATCCTGGTAAAGCGACGCCAAGTGCAGCGCAGCCTCGGCTAGCTCTCAGGCTGGAGCCCGGCGCCACGCATGGCGCTGCACGCCTAGGGAGAGGCCCAGAGTCTCTTCACTTCGGGAGCACCGCAAAAGCCAAGCCCACAGCACTGCAGCGGCGAAGGTGACGGAGATGTTGGGGATCATGGGAGCCAGTGGCTCAGGAGAGGCAAGGGCAGCTCACCATCCCGCCTCTTGCCATCTTGTCCAAACGTACCAAGACGGCGCAACTTCCAGAGTCGCCTTTTCCACGCTGCATTTCTGGAGCACCTTGTGGTGATTCTCCAAGAGCGGGTGTGAAACCATGGACAGGAAGCCGCATCTGCCAACTAAAGATACTGCTCTGTGGGGAAAGTCGCAATTTGTGCCGGCAGTTTCAACTTCACTAATTCTCCGGAACTGGGCCGCATTGTTTGGGGACGTTCGGGTGAGACCGCGCTTTCAGGCCGGGGCTTCCTCCTGGAGGCTCCACACATCAAGGTGTGCTCTCGGCTGAGTCGGCTGAGGCTTTGCGTCCTCTTCGGGCGTGGCTTCGGGCACCAAGGACTGGAGCTCCTGAAGAGCCGCAGCCTGCGAAAGCGACGACTCACTTTAGGTTCCAGACCCCCTGCTTCTCCAGAGAGTAGCAGTAGCGCATATGATGGCGCGTCTGCCATCCTTCGGTCCATCTCACTCCTTTCTGGTGGGACCTTTGCACCCTCACGTGGAACCAGCAACGATTTCAAGACTACTTCCACTTTGGTTGCCCGAGGGGCTTCCAGGAGACCTCATCTGTTGAGGGAGGGGCCTCCCTGATGGTCGCAGTTTGAGACACTTTCGATTATGTCTCTTTCGTCATGCACCTTTTCGAAACCGCAATTGAATCGTGGTTCCTCTCCGCTGGATCATGCAACTGCCGAAACTCCCGTGCTTTGTCTCCATCTGTATCCCCGCAATGTGAGTTGCATTGTGCTCGCCTCTCTCGTTCCTCTGATTAGTATCTCCCCCACTCTTGGGAAGAAGATGAAGTGACGGGTCGGATGCAGGGAAGCAACTGCAACCTCTGCCACTCCCATGCTATGGCTTCAAAGCAGATGTGAAGAAACTGCCGGCATGACAGGCCTGCGAAGACGTCGCAAGTGACCAGCCGGAACCTTCGGAGGTGTTCAGGGTGGGTACGCTTCAAAAGAACGCTTGCCGACGGGGGCTTGCCACTTGCCTGCAGTCGGGAACAGCACTTCAAGACCACGGCGGCGACAGAGAAGCCCGCCGTGACTGCAGAAGGAACGGAGAACCTCAAGCCGCGCTTCCTTCTCTTCTGCCACCAGCTTGGAAGCTCCTTCCCGCGCTACCGGGGCCATTGCCGTCTTGCGTTGCAGAAGTACCTTTTCTGAGAATGCCTTTGGCAAACAGCTGCTGCACGCTGTCAATAACAAGGCCGGCATGAGGCACGGACCACTGTGGCTTCTTCAGGGAGCGGCGGCGGTTCAACTTCTTCCTACAGACAGTTCGGATGCGAAGAACAGTCTCAAGCACTGCAAGCCACAGCCTCAACCTCTTGCTTGGCCTTCCCCTGCCATTGGAATAGCGCATGGTAAAACAAGGGACGATTATCGACACGGACCTTGGGCTTCGGTGCAGCCTTCCCTTTTGGGGCGGCGGCTGCTGCCGTCTCGGCTTTGGCCTGCAATGGGCTGCACGGTGCCAAGAGCGCTTACTGCCTGCAGGCTCTTCTCTTCCTCCTCCAGAAGGTTGTTGCAAAAGGTGGCCAAGTCGGGAACAGGTGCCTTCGTTTGACTTCAACATGGAAGGCCGGTCACCGTGAAGGCTTAGCACTTTCACAACTGCCGGGAGCACGAGAAGGCCGGATGGTCGACTGCGCTGGCTGTGAAGGAGCATCCACAGATCCTGGCTATGACGCAAGACATGCTCCTGGGGAACGATGTGGGTGGCTCTCTGTCGAAACACTTTTTGCATGGTACACGAACCGAGCAGCGAAAGTGCCCCTGCAGCGTCCTTCACTAAAACCTGCGCAGGCTCTTCCTCAGCAGCTAGCGCTTCACGAGGGAGCAGAAGCCTGCGTCAGCCCCAATTCCAGTCCAAGCTCAGCAACGAACTGGGCCGGTACTGCAGGGCGAGAACTAAGTGTTGTGCCGCGCCTGCAAAGCCTGCTGAAGCTTTCTGCAGGGCTGTGGCCCAGACCAAAGTAACCGAAAATCCTGCGATTGCTTTCAGCTCAAAATCTCGCCGCGTGCTCGCTCCCTGTGTCGATCGCCGGCACGCTCAGGCCAGAATCGCCGTGCCTCCTCGCCGTAATCGTGAACTCACTCGGATCCTCTGGTCGACCTGAGCTCAAAACCGCTCAATGCCTGGCACGGGTCTGGCTAAGATCGCTAAGATGTCGGCGCGAAGGCTTCGCTGGAAGTCGGACTTGCTCCTCGGAGGCCGCTGCCGAGAGGCCATGAGGCATGCGGAAGCATGCGTAAGGCCAAAGCCTCTGCAAAGGTAGCCAGTACCTTTCAAGCGAGTCTTAGAGATGGCCGACTGTGTGGCTGAGTCTGAGCCTGGAAGATCCATCTCCGAAGTTCCGGCGGGCAAGTCTCTGGCCTGGAACTCATACCCTGCGGCTCATAATGACAAGTGGCAAGCAAAGAATGAGCTTTCGACCACAAAGGAAGTTGGCAGAACAACTCCTTAGAAATGCAGGTCTGCATCCGAAAACCCGTCACTTCTCGCAGCACCCGCCTCCGATATCGGAACATCGGGGTACCTGCTCCATGCTCGCGTTCAACACCTACTGCCAGCTCGAGGAAGAGGCCGGCACGAGGCCAACACGTCTTGATCCAGCGGAGACTCCTGCACAAGGCAAAATGGAAAGGGCGGAAGCGGCGGAATGCACGCTGGGATCCGCCTCGGACTGAATGAAGGAGCGCGTCTCTTCTAAAGCCTGGCCCGTGTGGAGCTCCGTGGCAGTTTTGCGACTCGCCGCAATTCCCTAGAGGCCTCCGGTGTGGGCCATGGAACGGAATTCTCGTGATGTGACAGCACCTGTGCTGGATCATCCCATGGGGGCAGGCAAGCACCGCAAGTGCACACTGTGCTGTCCCAATTGTGGGGGAGTCCAGTGACTTCCTTTTGCAGTTGGTCGCTACAGTTCTGTACTGTAGTGCCTGCCTGCAGCTTCTGCACATGACACTGCGAAAAACGGACAGTTGCAGGCTGTACATGCAACCACAACACGAGATTGGAGGGCTCTGCATCAGGAAGTGCGATGGGCAGATGATAAATTGAAGCAGTAGTCCACCTTCCCTCCACTTAAGGACACCACGACTTCATGTTTCCATGCGGGCTTGATACGAAGTGTAGGTCGTTCCGTGCGAACTCGCTTTCCAGTTCTTGGTCGAAGTCGCGGTCTTCCACCTCTCCGCCGTGATCCGCTACGCAATTCACGATGGTCTCAGCTGCAACTCAGTTGATCGGCTCGGACAGCCAGCAGAAGCACCTGCCCAAAAGCTGCGAGTGCTTTCCGCGAAATGCTACTGAGCTACTGCAGGAAAAGCTGCCACTTTAACTTCTTCCATAAGGCATTTAACTCGGAAGCGAAACGGGTGATCCCTGAGAATCTGAGCATGTGACAGCAACAAGAAAGCACCGGCAGGTGAAAGGCTTCGAAGACTGAGGAAACTGACATTGAGAAGTTTCTCCGTTTCTCCTACTTGCAAGGCTCTCTCAGCAAGTAGCATCGGCCTTGGCTTCTAGTCTGTGTGCCAAGTGTGTGGGAGGTGCTCGCTGCAGAGCCAGCGATACAAAAAGTCTGCAGGTGCAGAAGAGGCGGCAGAGACAGCGGTTGTGAAGACGCTCCGGCTCAAAATGGGTAGCCTCGTGGCTCTCGGTTATCGAGGGTCCTCGAAGGCCTTCCCAACCTCAAAGACTTGGATTGGGCTGTGCCGTGCTTCGTCCTCCCTGAGCTTCCAACCTCTGCAACATCCTCTTGCACCAGCCTGCCATAAGCTGCGCTGCTCACTGTGCAAGCTTCCCCACTCATTTCCCCAATCGATGTAGCAACATCAGTGCGACTAGTTCTAAATCCATGAAGTCCAGCATAGTCAGCAGGCAAACGAGCCCAAGGCACAGGGCCGGCAAACCAGGATCTCTGGTCCATCCGATCTGAAGCAGACGAAGCAAGATGATCACGGCGGCAGCCACGATGAGGGGCACGGCCTCACATCCGATGTCACGACAGTAGAGTCAGTAGAGTAACTGGTCAGAGCCATGTGTCATGTGTACTTTAAATGCAGGCACGGGAACCCGGAAAAGCAGCGCGCTCCGCCTCGGCTTTGGAGAGTCTTCCAGAAGCACACCGCAGACGGCTTTGAAGTCTTGGAGCCGCACACTACTGGTTTGAGTGACTTCAGAGCTCTGCAGGCCACGAGCAGCGGCCTTCCGGCGGTCAACAAAGGCGTTGCATAACATCCGACGTCACAGAAGACTGCGCGCCCTGAGAGGAAGGGCCGGCGGTCACCTGGATGCGGACGCCGTGCGAACTGCATCAACACAGCGAGACATGGGACGTCATCAAGCGGGCTCAGCGCACCGGAAGTATCATCGCCACGCTCGAACACTGGAAACATACGAGACCTCGGAGCTGGGCTTGGTGAAAAACTGGTTTCGTGATCGCCAACAGAGACCGGCACGCCGATGCCGAGATGGCCGGGGGTGTCATCACAGACTGGAAACCACGCCTGAAGCCACGAGCTTCAAAGCGGTCGCTCGGTGCTCGGATTCCTAGCCTGGCACCGGTCGATCGCCAGGAAGCAGAGCCTGAGATTCGACGGCTTTCGCGCAGTGTACAGCAGAATCAGCAGACGATGCCTTTCTTGCTGCCAGGGTGGCTGCCGCTGTCGGTACTGCGGCCTCCTACATTGCTGACCTGCCACATTATCGAGCTCATGCATGCGTGACGAGGAATGCTCCCATTTCGTGGGGCATGTGACCAAGATCAGCAACATGACTACTCGAAACTGGTTGGAGGCCATGATGAAGAAGCCATTTGCCTTTTCAAAAGTGAAGGCTTTGGGGTCGGTCGGCATGCCCGAGGAGTCTACCCCCATCTGCCTGGCCGGTCGCAAGCACAAGCACGGCCAAGCTGAATCAGTCAGGGTCAGAAGTTATTACTTTCGTACACGGCAGTGAGGTGACAGCGACACAAGTCAGGGAGACGCCATGCGCTGAGTCACTATTTTGAGTCGAGCCTGACATGCGTGACAGCAACTTGGTTGCGAGAAAGCCCCGGTCATGGGCAGCCTCATCAAAGGTGAGGCCATCTTTCATGAGCTGGGAAGCTTCCGCCATACCTGAAAGCAGGAGGAGAGCGCTCCGAATCAGCTCGTCTGGCCCCTCGGGCCTCGGGTGAGTCGTAGCCGATCCTCATCGCTGAGGCCGGCCTCGAGCTCGAAGGTGGCACTCTGAAAGTCCTCCTGACAGAGCGCGCGAGCGAAAGAGACCGTGCGTGCGCGACCGCAGGTGAGACGGCAGAGCGGAGGGCCTCCAAGGAAACCTCCTTGCGCTGCGCCATCGCACTGAGAGCCCTACTAGGCCCTAGACAGCTAGCAACGGCTCTGGCTTGGCATGTTGGCTCCCTCAGGCGCTACCGCATGCTACCGCTACCCAAGCTGCCGTACCAAGGAATTGGGCAGAGCAGGTAGCATGTCTGTGCAGCGACTCAAGGATTTGAAGCTGTGACTGCGGCAGCGGCGCTGAACACAGTTCTGCTGGCGGAGGACGCTTTGAAAACCACGGGGAAGGCACCAAGAGGAACTCTGTCACGTCAACGCCAGTGGCGCCCCATGCCTTGCGCCCACACACGGCCGGGAATGCCCCCTCGGCCCTCATCACACATCTCCTCCTCTGCTAAAGGCGCTTCGAGCACCGAACCGGTTCCACCATTGAGTCGCACAGAAGTTTGTAGACCACCTGAGAGGTGAAGGCAAGGTGGCACGGCCATCAATCTCGGCGCCTGTTCAGGGCCGGAACTAATGGCCGCATGACCCACGACTCGGGTATCACCTGGCTTCCAAGAGCTACTATGATACTACGTGCGGCTGAATGCTTTGTGCTGCGATGTGCCTGCTCGTTGTTGAAGCCTAAGGCACAATGGCGGCGCTCGAGCAGTGCCTTCAAAGCGGCAGCAGCTGCGTCGGAACACTCAAGGAAGAGTTCTCCAACCTGAAGCAGCTGCTCAGCCGAACAGACGGCCCCACTCAGATCTGCCAGTCTTGTGAGAAGACCCCAGAGCATGTCCTGACGTGCTCCAGCAAAAGGGGGCTCGCGCAGCTCATGCAGAAGACTTCTGGCTGTCCTGGGACCACCTCTCGGGGAACACCTGGGAAGTTGTCGTCTTGAGGAGTTAATCTTTGTCAGCACCTCCCCTCAACAAAACAGAAACAAGCCCTACCTCTTCAGGAAACTCTTCACGTAGCGATGCTTGCGCGAAACACAACCTTCTCGAGTTGCCCGAGCTTTGGGCTGGCCGTAAGGGCTTTGTGGTAGACGGCCGGGATCCCACAGCGACTGCAACAGGGAAGTAGATGAGCCGGGTTGGGAATCCTGGCTGCCACTGCTCACCTTGAGAATTTGATGTTGAGGGTCTGGTTGGCACCGGCACCGCTGCTTCCGACACCTTCGCGCATCCCACGGCTCCACGGCTTGACTTGGCCGGACACTGAGGGCCGAACCTCGAGCTTCTGAGGAATGTACACATCCACGTCCAATGTTTTCGCGATGATGACCTCCGTCCGTCGTGTTGTCCGTGTACCAAACTGACGCAGCGAAAGTCCCCCGGCCTTGAGGACATCTCGGCGTCTTTTGCCAGCTGCTCCGGTCAGCGCAGGCTGAGCAAGGAGTTTCTACATTGACATGTCCAGAGATCTTAGTCTCGAGGTTACACCGCCCAGCAGGGGCCTACCTACAGACAGGCCTTGCCCCGACTTCAACATCTTCAACATATTGTTGGGACCTACGGGGCCCTTGGCCGGGTATGTACCGATCTCTGCAAAGTCCTTATCTTAAACTACGGCCCCACCTGACAGGGCAATCGCATGGAATCGCCTTCATCGTAGCGGTCTGGGATCTACGCATGCTTCTCGTTGTCATGAAGACTGGCTCCTGCTGCACACTCAGCAACATCGCGCGTGCACGTCATGACAAGCACAATTCTGAACGTTGCCGTCGAATCCAACAGCCTCGTCCTCCCACCTTCCGGAGCGAAGCAAGGTGTCTGTCGCCTGCCGGATGTGAAAGACCGCACATGGGAGAAGGCATGCGCTCAAGGCGCAGCGCGCGCATGCCTTGATTGCTTCGTTCTCCTCCTTGACACGGTCCTTGATCCAATCGTCCATTCGAGCAAAGACCTGACGGAGACTTTTCAAGATCTTCTCTCAGCAGAGCACCGGGCACGGTTTAGGCCGGTGCCTCCTCATGTTGCTGGTGCATGGTCTCTAGCCGGGCATATGTCCAGGCCTGCTTTCAGCTTGCACAACAGCCCGAATTAAGCAGACAAAGACAGGGATAGAGAGAGAGAGAGGGAGAAAAACAAAGCAGGCGCGTCTTGTCAGTGGCTGGGCTGCCAGCTGCAATGCAGCGACACCGTGACACCAGGCCGTGTCGTTCAGCTGCACAGCCGCAACGGAATGCTTCCACTGCATCAATGCGCTCTCATGCGTGCACTGCCACAAGTGGCGGAAGGCCTCTGAGGGCTGCAACGAGCTCGGAAGTTTCGCTGCTGGCTTCCACAATCTGGCTTGCAGATGCCTGAAGCAAGAGAACAGAAGCGTACCATGGCGAAGGATAAGCGAAGGCGAAAGCTACGAATAGTTCCCAGAGCCTCCAGCAATGAGCTGTCCTCCCAAGCAGGCCACGCTTCTTCCGCGTAAACCCGGACTCAGCTTATAGGATGCGGAGCGCGTCCTCTTCCGGCAGGGAGTCCGCTTGAGGCTCATTCTCAGCTTGCGTCTCTTCCTCCACACCCGACGGCTCGGCACTGCCAAAGCCTGAAAAAAGCTAAGTGAAAGAGCGACGTCAGCTGCGACACCGTTGAATTCTGCGGGCCGCACGCTCTGCGGATTCATCCAGCCAGGTCGCAAGGTCCTTGACTTTCCCAGGTTGCTTGCGGCTCAGACTCCTTATCGAAATGGCACCACCTGGAGGGAGGACAGGTCCGCAGGAGGTGGCTCCACGCCAGATGTGTCGAAGCAATTCAGATCCTGTGCCGCGGTTCTGTTTCATCTCCAACGGCCGGACTGCCAAAGTGCCAATCGTGCACGAGCACTGAGAAAACTAGGACTCTGGAGTTTCAGTAATGAAGCATGGATGCTCAACCATCTGTCTGAGCTCAACAAGTTAGTCTAAAGCTGCATGGTCAAGCGACTTTCATGACTTTGTTGTTGTCAACGTGGCTGTTGGATTTCAGAGCTCTGACGAAGGACTTTGAAAAGATCTCCTGATACATTACTGTAGAAACAGACACTGTGCAGGAGAGGACTCCTTGAACTTGGAGAGAAACTCAAACGCTGCTTGCGCTGAATCCCACGGGACAGTGCTGCGCCTGGTCCACTTGGCAGTAAGTCCACCTCAAAACGGCGGCGGCCACTTTGAACCTGGCCAGTTCCAGTGCCTGGCATGTGCGCCACAAGGTGACATCCAATGATAGGACCACTGCACCATGCAATCAAAAGCAGGTTCAGACTCATCGTCTTCGCACAACTAAGGAATGCTACTGGGGATTGTAGCCCCAAAAGGCTGCTATTCGACAGCGGGTGGTTCAGCTCCGAATCTTTCAGCAGCTGCTTTGCGAACTATGTACATCGAAGAAGTCCCAAATGGGGCATGCCAAGCCAGTTCAGATGGCAGCTCACCAAGACTCCATCAGATCATTGCAGGTGCCCAAATCGCGGCCTCTGCCTGGCCACTGGGCTCCTGGTTCAGGTGAGAATGTAAAGACATGAGGACATATGTGTTTAGAGCACCGCCACTACTGTAATAGCCGCACAAACATCCACGAAGGACAACACCAGGGAAAGGCTCAGAAAATTAGGACTTCTTGTGTGATCACACTTCTGAAATGTCGCAACTACGAGGTGCGAACGAAAGCTGCCATACCGCGGAGCCCAAGGCTGTTGCAGCTTTTCTTCCTTGTGAGTGGGGGTCGGGGCCCGGGGGTGGGGTGGGCTCACGGTTGCACCAGGTCTCCGAACCAGGGGAGTCTGGCAGCCATGGGCTGGCCGGGCTTCTCAGCTTAAATAGGAAACCATGGGCCTTTCTTGTTGTCTGTTGAGGCTTGTGCTTGTTCTTTCAAAATCTGATGCTCATGTTTTCATCCTCACAAGAAGTTTTGCGCTTTTTCGGGTGCAAGAATGTTGTGCTCTCCATTGTGCTTTTCCTGGCGTGCAAGTATGATCAAGTATGCATGCTCTCGATTGTGCTTTTCCTGCTGCAAACATGTGCGCTCTCGACTGCACGTTGCAACTCTGCAGCTGAACTTCCTGTCCGCTGACTGGCTGCTCTGGGCAGGTGCTAAAGAAATGTGCGCTCTCGATTGTGCTTTCTGGTGTTTTGCTTTCCTTGCCAGCACTGCAGCCAAATCTATTCGACATTGTCTGCCGATCGGCTGCTCGGGAATTCCTGCATTCTGTCTTGGTGGGGGGTTGTGGTGGGAGTGTGGTGGGGTATGGTGGGGTATGGTGGGGGCTGTCTGGTGGCTTGGTGGTGGCTTGGTGGTGCAGTAGGGGTGGGGTGGGGTGGTGGGGCGTGGTGGCGGTCCGATCGTGGTGTGTGGCTCAGGGTTGAACTTGATGGGTTTGGCTGGTGCTTATTTTGGGGGTGGGTGATTGATCTTGTGACCCCTTTTCGACTATTAGCGACACTCACCGCACTGCACGCACCTCGCAGGGATGAAAACGCTGCCCCACGCTTCGTCTCGCTCGTGTAAGGCCGGGCCACTTCCCTGAGCATTCAGCACATCACAGCACATCATACTCCAAGCAGGGTTGAATGCAGTGCTTGTGGCGTAGCAACTTAGGTACTGGCCCCAGCGAGATCTCCAATCCAGTTCGAGCTGACGTGACCTCTCGGCGGTCCGCCTCTCGCATGGTCCTGCCAGTGGAACGTGCGCATGCGCGCGAGCTGCGAAGTGCTGCGGAGGAGTGGGACCTGGTGAAGCTTAGCGGAGACCGACTGAACCTCCCTGGCAAGCGTGCGAACCTTCAAAGAAGCATTCAAAATTCTCGTGCAAACTTCGAGCGCAAAGCTTCAGAAAACAGATGCAGCCTCCGAGCCGAAGTGAACTGCTGCTGGTAACACTGGCCTTATGTTGCATCCGCCGCCATTCTCCGAACTTTTGGTGCCGCGACGATGAGTCACCATGGATACACAGACACTGATCCGCGGAGGCTGGAGGCCCGGCTCTTTGTTTTCGATTTACTGGATGACTTTTTGAGGGTCCAGCACGGGTTCGCCCAGGAGTTTGGGCCCTGCACTTGCGTTCTCTGAGCCTCCCCTTCTCCCCTTGAAACGCAGAATGTTACACATCCAGGTCCCTGTCTGTTTAACATATCACACGCATATACCTATGCTTGTTGCTCAAAGTTCTAGCAAAGTATTGATGTACAGCTGTGCGGCTGTAGCCAGAGGAGACACCTGTGTTTGCCTGTGTTCCTGCACGCTTTGCGAGGGGATACGCGCCCAGGTCACCATCTTAATGTGGTAGCGTAGCTCCTGGTTAAACGGAAGCTCCACACAGGTGGAGAAACCGTAGGTGCGCTCCATGCTAGTGGAAGGTGACCGGAGTCTCTCCGGTGTACTTCGCTCAGGTGAAGAGAACCGGCAGAGTAATCTCCCGGGGCTCGATCCGTGGACAGCGCACTGACTAGCCACTCTGCTGTGCCGTTTGAACATGGCGAAGGAGATGATGATTACCTCATTCAAGGTAATGAATCTTATGTGACGGATCACCGATATCTCCAAGAACTACACCGACTTTCAACTTTCCAGTAGCTGAGCACCAAAGTACCGCCGTCTTCTGACGGGCGAAGCAGCTGGTTTGCCTACGAGGATGCGATCGATGACTGGTGTGGTATCACTGAGTTGGACGGCGACAAGCGAGGACCAGCTTTGAGAAATCGGTAGGCGAAGCGGCGATTCACAAACGGTCTCTTGACAAAGAACGCCTGATGGACCCGAACAAAGGAGTGAAGTACTTCAAGAGTTTCTTGCGGCCGCTCTGCGTGAAGGGCGCAGCCAATGTGTTCCCCTACCGCTTCCAGCAGTTCATGAACCTGCACCGCGGCAATGGATGCATGCTTCGTTGGATTACCAAGTTTCAACTGTTTGTTCAAAGGATGCAGGAAGCCTGGAATGACACCTACCTTCCGATCACGGACCCTGGCAAACCGAGGTCCGAGCATTCGTAGCACAAGAATGCCTTTCCAACGAAGAGGCGATGGACCGAGCCAATGAGAGGCTCAGAGATCAGCATGCACGGACGATTCCAATACGGCCAACTTCGTTGCCCTCAATTTTGTCTCCATGCCCGACCTTGCACAGGATCAGCGACAGGTGTTGACATCATTGATGGCTCGTCGGAACCGCGTGCTGGGAGACTACCGCCTGAGCGAGCTTCGCGAGGTCTACCTCGAAATTTTCTGCACCACCAAGACTTCCGTCGATGATCCTCCCCTCGCTCCCTCTAGACATGGTGGCCGAAAGACCTTTGGTGATCGAGGAAGGCTACCTGGACCATCAAGAAGGCCACTGGGTCGAGGATGAAGAGGATGGCGCAGAAGGCTTCCTTCAAGCAGATGATGATGCCTTCTGGGTCTATGACGAGGAGAACTACACATGGTTCCAACGACGTTTCCAAGGAGGGAAGATGAGGCGTGGATTCAAAGGTCGCCGCAAAGGAGAAGGAAAAAGGTGGCAAAGGATCCGGAGGCAGACGCTTCTGCAAGAAGAGGAAAGGCAGGTCGAACCTTGCCGATGATCATATAGATGCCTGGCAAGCAGAAGGACAATGGCATGGTAGTCAATGGCAAGATCCCTCATGGGATGATTGGTCCTGGGACTATTCAGAGGAGTCTTATGCAGCCAAAGGCAAAGGAAAGAAAGGTAAGAAGGGCAAAGGAAGAGGCAAGTATGGAAAAGATGGAAAGGATGGATAGTCCGGCTCCAAGGACGGAGCCGTGCAACTTGCCGATGCTGCCCAGAGCAGTACAGTGTACAGCGACGACTACTGCCACAATTTTCTTCGTTGACCACACGAACTCAGTTGACTTTTCATGTCCACCGAAGAGGAAAAAGCCTTCATAGCTCAGCCTCTAACGCCAACTTCGATGGTGTTGGATTTGGGGTGCACGAGTGCGATTTGCAATGCTTCACTACTTCCTGGCGGCTGGATCGGGGACTTATCACTGGATAAGATGCCGAATCCAACTCTTCATCGTTCTGGTCTTGCCGAAGATGGTCCTGTACCTATCTAGAATCTAGACAAGTAAGACCAAGTTCTCTACACTCATCCTGAATCTGGGGAACCTCGTCCGCGGTCGTAAGCGCTCTGCTCCCTCTGCCTATGCCGATATCATCGACTATGACGACAGTGGAGAGAGCCATGGAGCATTGATCAAGAGCATCGCCCAAGCCAAGGCACACCTTTTCATGATGTGCGAGCCGGAGCGATCTCTGATTCCGAGTTGCAATTCCTCTATGGTCGTGCAACCTTCCGTAACCCTGCTGGAGATCTTCTCGCTGGTTGCCGGACCAATCTTGTTGTGTCCAAGATGAGACGGTTGGCAGGCTCGACATCATCTTCAACTTATGTACATGATAGTGGAGATCACCTTTGGGAAAACTCTTCCCATCGGTGGACAAGGCAACCGAGGAGACTTTCCGGATTCGGCCATGACAGCTACTTTGACGAGAGCTGGCAGCGACATGATCCGTGTCTGTGTTTTCCATTTGGACAGCAAGGTCGCGGCCGGTAAAGTTGGTCTTGCTCACGGGGCCCGAGGCCTGGGAGTTGATTTCATTGGTGGTGATGCAAATATGGTGCTATATCGTGCCGCAGGACGCAATCAAGAACCCATGGATATCAGAGGGGGCATTTATCGAAGCACCCTCGACGATTTCCAGGAAGGAGAGCCCGAAGTGCTTCCAAATGTGCCACCCTCGGGCACAGCACGCTTCGTCAAACAGTCTTTGTCTCCTCAAGCAGTATGAAGACCAGCTTGGCTGTCCTCCCAGGGAGTGCACGCAGCCCGACTAGAACACGCTTCCTGGGTTGGATCCATTGGTCGCCACGGTCATGAAATGGGGACATTCACTGGACGACGAGCAATGGGCTCAAGCTCTTCCTGGTCAGATGGGCGGCCTACCTCCTTCAAGATCGGGACTGTGACGCTCATACTCCTCTCCTCATCGAGGTCCACGCGAACCTGGGCACTGGTGGGAGGATGAAAGCGATGAACCGTAATCCCGACACAGTCAAGGAGGTAGCCGACAGACGAAAGTTGAGACAGAAGGCCAACAAGGCTCGTGGGTCTGCTGATCCTTCGCAGCCGGCATCTACTGGAACAGGCTCTCCACAGGGAGAGAGAGTTTCTGGTGCCACGGCCTCTGGCTCACAACGTCCAGCCGAACCGCACAACCTCCTGGTGGGAAGGCAAAATTTGGCAAAAGTGGTAAAGGAGGCAAGTCCTCCGAGGACAAAGACAAAGGCAACGGCAAACGGATGAACTGACTACCGAGTCGGAACAACCGGTCTATAAACCAGCACCCCACACTCCTCCTGCTCGGCCCGTTCCTTTCACTTGCTACAACCTGTTGTCGTCTACCAGGATGATAACTACCGTTGGCTTGGCGATGGGACAAGTGACCGTAATTGGGATGATGATAGAGGTCGTCGACTACGTTTGAATGCTTCTCACAGGAGAAGGGTTCCTTCTTACTGTCTGCTATTTCACGAGGAAGATGTCTTTCATAGGAGAGGGTACTTCCCATCGTCTATTTGCCCAAAAGCCAATGAGATGCTTCTTACTGGAGAAGATACTGATATTAGAGTCATATGCGGTTCTTTCGAGCCGCAATTGCCATAGCCGGCATCAAGTGGAGCTACGCTCTACCCTTTTGTGCAGTATGCTTTCCTGACTTGGAGAGGAAACTGAACATGTGGGCAATCTTTCAAAAGAGAACTTTGACCGAAGATCCGTTTGCGTGTTGCGTGCCTGTTCTGCTCTTTATTGACAAAGCTCTCTCCCGGCGAGAGATGTATAAATTCTCGCATGTCACTTTTGTAGCCCAATGCCACTCCGATTCGCTTGGGCAAATAATAGATAATGTAGAAAGCCGACTTCACGGCCAGGCAGCTCTACGTGTTTTTAAATTTGTGCCCGGCTGAAACGCAGACTGTTACACATCCTTGCGCCTGCCTGCTTCACGTATCACATGCACGTATCTATGCCTGTTGCTCAAGGTTCTAGCAAAGTACTGATCTACAGCTGTGCGCCTGTAGCAAAAGGAGACACCTGTGTTTGCCTGTGTTCCTGTACGCTTTACGAGGGGACACACGCCCAGGTTACTATCTCACCTCTGACCCTTCCTTTCTTGTGCGAGGCCTCCTTCCAGCCTGGTGTCCCTTCCTCTCGGAAGCCAAGAGGCAACACAACGGAAACAGCGAAACAAGCGGACAAGCATGGCGGAGCTCAGAACCTAAAGTTCGAGTCTTCGCTTGCAGCGGACACACATGGCGGAGCTCGGGGCTTTTGCTCCAAGGCGGCTTTCGCGCTAGCGAATACAATTAAGTTTCCTCCTGTCTGCACACATGGGATCGCGGCGACTCTTCTGGCAGAGCATTGGAAGTCATGGGCGTGCCTCCTGACAGAGCTGACTGTGAATTTGACTGAGGAATGAGAGTCAACACCTTTTCAATGTGTAAATGAGAGCATGGAAGCACAGAAGCCTGCCGATCCCTGCAAAGGCTGAGAATGTGCCGTGGTCATGCTTGCCGTTGGCCTGTGCCCTCATCCATGCCACTTGGGTATGCTGATTGGAACCTGACCTCAGCGACCGAGTGATGAGCACGAGACACGATGGATGTGCTGGATGCTCTCTAGTCAGATCTCCTTCTAGTCGATCAGTTCATGTAGTGTCCGCATACATGGCTCCACACATCGGTTTGCGTTCAACCTGGCAGTTCATATGATTCCGACGGTGATGTCTGTTTTCGTATATATGGGTGTAGATAAGATTTGCGACAATAGCCAATGTAGCGGTAAGAACAATCGCCCGGTACCGTCGAACCTGTCGTCTGCCCTCAGAAATACGAAAGCGGTCAAAACGTGGCACCTTGTTTTCTTCCTTTGCATCATGAACACGAGATACGGAGCCACTGGCTATACGATACTGTTTAGGCGTCGGGGCAAAGCAGGATCACCAGGTACCGACAAAAAGCAGAAGGACTGAACAGTGCCATCATCAGATACGCTGAGCCTTTGGCCGAGATGTCTTGCAAGGCCTGCATCAGGTTCGGAGATGGAGCAGCCGGGGTTGCAAGAGTGTTGGGAGGCATGTTCCGCCTCCGTCTGCGCCTCACAAATCTCCATATTCGGTCGGCTCTTCTCGCGGCGGCCTTCTTGCTCTGCACGCTCCTCCTCGGCAAACGGCCACCTCTACCCTGCTGCGCTTCCGGGCTACATCGGACTCCGTCGTCCTGTTGTATTCTGGCCTCAATGAAGGCTTCTAACCTTGCGATGGCGGCATCTGGGAAAAACTCAGCGCTACTACGGTCCGAACCTGTCCAATTCTTCAGCGATTGGGTTGACCTCCTCCTCTGCCTGACACACAGCGATGAAGTGCAAAAGCCCTTTTTCGAATCATCTGAGAGGACGCGATTTGCTTGGGAGGCAGATGGAGGTGCCTGATCCCTCTGCTTCGGCGGCTTCCTGATAGTCATCGTTTACTCGATTCAGGTAATCAGCTCTGTTAGCTGACATTGCAGCGATCCGGATGTACTTGGCTGAGAACCCTGCTCTATCGTGTCCCAGAGCTCTGCAAGAACCGTTTCCACTTCTTGCCTTTCAGCACATAGAGACCGAGAAGAAGCACTACAAGTACATGATTGCAGAACAAAACATGTCCCCAGAGAAGCCGGGAATCCCACTCTAGATCCAATCCGGTTTCGGTACCGCTGGAACCTCAGGGGCAACGGTGCAAAATGTAAAGGAGACGATGGCAAGATCTTCTTTTCCCGGGATGCTGGCGTCCGTGCGCGTGGGCCAGCGCTGCCGAGGCTGCTTGCACCTGCAATCCAGAGCCCACAGTACCAGCTCGATGGATGCAGCCGAAGAGTGGAACTCAACCGCACGCGCTTGTTGCAAACAAGATAGCACAGACATGTAATCCCCTCCTGCTCCCTGGTGGAAGGTGCATCGCTTCTGCTTTTTTGATTCCATTGGAAAGCACCTCGATGATTCAAGCTCAGTCTTAAGCAATGCAACGCTCTCGGACACACGGCAAGTGGAAGCGAAAGTTCGGGCAGCGACCCCAGGCTTGCTCGAGTTCTTTGAAGCGCTGTTGCAGCGACTTTCCCTGAACAGAACTTGCGGTGGAAGGGTTGGCCAAGAAAGCGTCAGAGAGCCTCCCCTGAGCTCAAGCCACCGAGGGCCACTTGGGAGAGCACTTTGTACCTGCGCTTAGAGGTTGGGCTCGAGGATCTGACTCTCCGCTGCAAGGGATGTGGGTCACTCCGCAGTGGCTCCTTCGAACTCCTCCCGCATTTTTCTGACTTTCTCGTTGTCTACCTGGACCGCACGCCAGCTCAAGAGGATTTTTGTAACAGTGTAACACGACTGTCCACGAGTCTCTGTGACCTTGGCCAGCACAGGGGCATCCCCGCTTCTGCCAGAATACCAGGGCACCATTGGCACTGGTCCTGTCGTGTCGCAGTCGTCAAGATCCGGGGAGGATGTCAGGATTAAAAGAGGCTTCCTCCTCGCAGCTGCGCAGCATCCTCTAAGTGCAGGCTGATGGCCGCCGACCCTTGAAGCGCAGTCATGCTCTCTGCCCTCTCGGCCCTCTCGGCCATCTCGGCACCTGACAGCCACAACACTTTGGCCTAAGCTTCTCCGCTGTGGGCTGCGGCACCTGCGGCAGCTCCTTGCTGGGCACCTTGTCGGGCATCTCGCTGTGCCAAGGCCGCCTCAGCGATCTCTCGTGCCTGAACACAAAAACCACGCGCAGCTCCGAGATCATCGAGAAGCACACTTATACCGCATCCTGTTGGCACGCCACAGTCCACAAGCCTTGGCAGCCGCGGCAGCTTCGGCCGCTGCACGACCGCGAAGAGGCTTCGCCGTCGCCATGACCAGTTTTACCCATGTAGGCAAGCTCCGGCTGATCCGGTGCGGTGCCAGGCACCCCTAGCGGCCCTAGCAACTGCAGTCTCGATCATGTGGGTCTTCGCACCGTACACTCCGAAACATTGCGTTGTGGACAAATGTCTCCTAACATGCCGAAATTGGAGTACAGCGTAGTGACGGCGTAGTGTGTGTGTGTGTGTGCCAGAGCGGTGCAAACATGGCTCAACCATTTGGCTGCAGGTGTACAGTCGATTTGACAGCTGCCGCTGGCCGGTTGCTTGAACGTGGGGCCAGGCACTTCGTGAATCGAGACAGCAGTGTCAAATCTGAAGCCTTGTAGCCTCAACCCACCACGATCCAAATCTGCACCACTCGCTTGAAGTCCCCAAACTCTTGCGACGAGCCTGGAGCTTGTGCGCCAATCTGAGTTGCGCCGCGGCTTTCTCTTCCCAGAAACCGCCCCTGGCCCGCTCAAAGAGACTCTCAACAGGCCGCACCACAAGCGAAATCGGTCTCAAATTACCGTAGCCGGAATTCAGGTCAGGGTAGCGTCATCTGACGGTAGCGCTCCTCGTGCGGGGAGAGGCGGAACACTTGCAAAGCTTGGGCCCTTTTTGATCTTGCAACGTGTGCGGACCTCCACAGCCTCCTGCTTGCGCAAGTTCGCATGCACCCAGAGCCTGTCTGCAAGGTCCTGCATGTGAAAAGCATCAACCCATCGCTACATCTCATCTTGAGTCTGCACCCTCCTGCAGCTGCTCGCTAAGCTCATCTGCTTGTCGCGACCCGGGCGGTACATTGTTCCTCGAGAGATATCTGGAGATCCACCACTGCCCATCACGTCGAGAGTTCCACTCCCAGCGGACAGCAAGAGACGCTGCTTGTCCTGACGGGGAAGCCTCGAAGAAACTCTTCCAGGACCTCAGCAGCTTCAGGTTCGCGGCACCAGAATGTTCAAGAGTATCCCTGCAAGAATCCATGCAGCGTACCTGGGCCTTGTCATCAGGCCGCTGCAGAAATTCAAGGAACCTGTCAGCTTGCACACCATTCGAAGGTCTGTTCTTGCTGTGGCATATCTGCTCTCCATGTCATTGGCACACAGCCTGTATGTAGCTGCCTGAAGGAAAGCAACCCGCATGCAGAGTGAAGGACAGATGGAGGAGAGCATGAACTGGAGTGTTCCAGATCTCGAGATTGTACAAAGCGAGGCCCCAACCAACTTGCCTCCTCAAGGACAGTCCGCCGAGGCCGGATGCCGGGCGTCTTGGTCCGGTGACCATATATATATATATATAACACTAGTCTTACCCTCCCCTGTGTTTATGTTTGTGACCTTTTTGACTCAATCTTGAGGAGTCCCGTCAGAGGTCCTGTCAAATTCAAACCTCTGTCGCCTTGGGTCCCACAGGCGCGGTCGGCTGCAGCACCGCTTTCCCCCCCAACCCGCGCCTTTTTTTTCCTGGGGTGCCCCGCCCTTCCTTCCCACCACCCTCTTCTCCCTCCGTCGGCCCACCCCTCATTTTGACCCCGGGGCCGTCTGCGAGGCGGCTCTCGCGCTGGCGGAAATTACATTCAACTGGACGGGCCTCCGCTGCATGAAGATAAGGTCCTTGCAGTAGCTGCTTGCGTGGTCATCCACCTGCTGCGCAACACTGACACCATCATCATCATCATCACCACCATCACCATCACCATCATCATCATCATCACCATCACCATCACCACCACCATCATCCTCATCATCATCGTCATCATTATCGTCATTATCATCGTCATAATCATCATCATCATCATCATCCTATTGCCACCATCATGATCATCAGCGGCAAAAGCAGCAGCCGCCGCCAGAGTCGCGAGAGGAGGAGCAGCAGCAGCAGCAGAGGCAGCGGCAGCAGCAGCAGCAACAACGGCAGCAGCGGCAGGCATGTCGTAGGAGCAGTGGCGGCAGTAACCGGTAGTACCAGCACTAGGCACACTAGTCCTCGTCGAAGAGAAAGAAGCTGTATACCTGCCGCAGAAGCAGCAGCAGTGCCAATCGGAGCGGCAGAAGGAATAGAACTAGCAGCAGTAGCAGCAGCGGCTCAGCAGTCGTCGGAGAAACATAGCTTTTCTCATCTACACATGCGATGGGCTTCTTGCGTTTTCTGGCACTGCTGTGCAGTTGTTTGCTTCGCTTCCCAAATCCTGGCTGGGAGGGTGTGGTGCGGATGAAGTCCACGCCTGCTGCACCTCTTTCGACTCCTCTCTTACTAGGTGGCTGCACTGTCCAGAAAGGGTTCTACACTTCCACCTGCATCCGTCATATGGTCCGCATTTATTGGTTCGCCCTCCTTGCAAGTTCCTCGCTCCGTTGCAAGTGCCAAACCAGCTTGGTATCCGAAGTGTTCTTGCAATCCCTGCTGTTGTAAACATTTCTTGTGTGGATTGTGTCTCTGCTGCTGTCTGTTGTGTTCTTTCTTCGTTTGCAAGTGCCAAACCAAGTTGGTATCCGAGGTGTTCTTGTCCCTGCTGTTGTGGTAAACATTTCTTGTCGTGGATTGTGTTTCTGCTGCTGTCTGTTGTGTTCTTTCTTCGTTTGCAAGTGCCAAACCAAGTTGGTATCCGAGGTGTTCTTGTCCCTGCTGTTGTGGTAAACATTTCTTGTCGTGGACTGTGCTTCTGCTGCTGTCTGTTGTGTTCTTTCTTCGCTTGTGCTGGTTCACAAACAGCCGTACGTGGCTGCTGTCATGCGATTGAAAGCCAGTTCCGCTGATCTCACAATTTTGCTATTGTTGCTGTGTTGCCCTGGCTGCATTGAACAATTTGCTTAACTGCATGGAAGAGACGGTATAGAAAGTACCGTGCACGGCATGACATGCGCCCAAAGACGCAGCTATTTCCGAAGCTGTCATCCTCGAAGCAATGTGCCTTTGGTTCATCAGACAGAAACTACCACAGGATGCGTAGAGTGCCATTACTATGGAAAGGATTCCAGCTGTTCCACCACCCTCCCTCCACTCCGACGCCTCCAGAAGAGTTTCGCGGATCCCCAGCCTCTGTTGACAAGGCTGGCCACATCGACTATGTGTTAGCAATCGTTAGCATGCCCCTCTGGATACCTGGCGATCACTCTCAGTGCAGAGCAGGTAGTGACTCATGTTCTGCAGCCAGAGGTTCTGGAACGCCTCACAGCCACGGGACGCACTACGCAGCGACTAGCAGGAACGACCTGTCTCCCAACTGCACGCAGGGCACGGATGGTTTCAGCAGGTGCCTCCTTGGTTTGACGACTGTCCTTGATGAGAAGCGTGTTGACTGCCTGCGATGTGATTGAGCTTCCAACAGGGTCTGTGTGAAGGGAGGGCACGCCGGGCACGCCCGCCTCCTGCTCCAAGTCCTCTGCTTCATCTTTGCCCTCGGTCGGCTGCCCAGCCTGCCCGCCACCCAACGCAAGAACGAAGAACTGACATGATGACCGATATGGTACTGTAGCAGTGCTGAAATCGGAGCAGCCGGACGAATTCCAAGTGGGGTTGGCGGTTTGGATTCTATGGTACTGCACCCAGGAAACACAGCTGGAGCTCGAACACTCGAACGATTTTGCTGTTCCGCTCGATCGCGCTGTTGCCTGATGTAGAACTGGCGAGATCTGCAGTGAACAACTGATAAGCACCGAGTGCACTCACGCGCATAAGACTAATCTCGTCAGCTATCGCCCGACATCGCACAAGGTGTGAACGGCATCCGGCTCTGTTCCGGCCGTTAACCGCTCTCGGCGCGACGATTGTCTGAGGTCGGGTCATCGCAGCATGTGTAGATTCTTGAGGTGGTCGTTGGAATGCTACATGACGATTTTGTACCAGCTATTTCCTCCCACCGAAAATGGGAGTCGCTTGCGATGCGTGGAGCAGGTTTTTGGTGGGTGGCTTCTCCCTCATATGATGTTTGGCCACAAGATGTGCATGGGACCATGGAACAACTCGGTTGGTTGTCATCGCAGTCTAACGTTGACATAAACGTGACTCTGATCACGATAGTGCCCAAAACTGCTTGCGAAACTGTCAGCTGCATCTCTGCCCACCGCTGTTCCAAGTCTGCTTCGACTCAGCTGCCCAAGGTTCTTAGCTTCTGGTTCGATTCAAGGACAAACATGTAAGGCAACAAGTGGAATCGGCAGGTAAATCAGTAAATCCGAGAACTCGAAAGAGTTGGCTCTAATGAAAGCCGAGCACAGTTGAACAACTGCTCTTCAAAGCTGGAGAGGACCAAGGAACATACAAAGGCAGTGGCTGCAGCATACCGGTAGGTAGGTGTGCACTGTAGGACTGTTCGATGCAGGCACACCCTGCTTATGCAAGAATGCTTGCGTCCTCGACATGAATAGTTGAGGAGTGGATTGAAAGAGCGGACAGCAAGCAGCAAGCCCTGCCAATCCGAGCATGCTCACAAGCCGCAACTGCGGCAGGATCACCCGAGGAAAATGTGACACTCGAGCGGTTCACCTTGCCTTTCAATGCTGGAGTTGTCCTGCTTGACTTTGTCGCTTCTTTGGGTTGGCGTTACTTGCTTGTCCAGGGCATCTGGAGGAATCTTTGTGGCTGCCGTATGTATCTGTGATCTGTGTGCTGACCTGTTATGTCAAGCGTCAAGGATTCTGCTGACATGCAACATCTGAAGACTGTTGAAATGAGATGCGACATGCTGCCTCTTTGTCGCCAGCTCCGTCCTCCGGAGCCGGCGGCTCAACCGGCTCATCCCCTTCAGTTGCTCCTGGAGGCACCGCGTCCGCTTCCACCACAGCCTCGGCCTCGACCCAGACTTAAGATCACTCGAGAGCAGAACAGTCACGGCCCGACCTCGGCTACTTCGACGGCTTCATCGGGCTTTGCATCTGCATCTGCAGCTTCAACTTCCAGTATCGGCCTGGCCGAAAGGCAGAAGAAAAGACAGGCCCTTCGGGAATTGATGAGACTGTGAGAGGTGCCTGTGCCAGAATGCGACGAGCTCCCGAATGCGCTTCAGGATTGCCTAGACAATACCCACGCTGTGGGGGCTCATCGGCAAGCGGCAAGCACTGTCACAAAGGGATGCTAGCAGCGAGAGATTACTGAAGTGGCAGCATGGTATTCCTTCAAGCCGATTGCCTCTGCTGCCGGGATGATGTCGTCGCCTTCTTCACCGTCCTGGTGGAACCATCACATCTCGCTGTTGTATTGGTAAGGTAAAGCATGGAAAAGGTGTACACCGTACACCGAAGCTTGGCGTGCCAAGGTTGGTTTTCCTGCACGAGTACATCGTGAACGTTGTGGAGCGGAGCAGAGAGCTTTGTCGCAAAGACCTACCGTCCAAGAAGAGAAGTCAGCAAGAAGGACAATCTGAAATTCACCTGTCACTTCCGCCAGCAACCGCCTGCGCACTCTCGAACAACCAGGCTTGGTCTGCAGCGCATTGCATCGTCGCCATCTCCTTTCAGAAATATGCCACAACTGGTCGCAAGTGATCGTCTCCACTGCACAAGCGGACGACCTCCTCCAGGCCATGGCACAATCGTGACTCGCCTTCATTCGCGCGCCCTTCTGCGGACATGTCCTGGTTGCATGTCGCCGCCACGCAGCATGAATCCAGGGTCAAATGCGCCGGGAAGTTCCGAAGACGATCGTGAAAGCCAGCCCGACAGATTGCGCGCTTTCTCGGGCTAGATTCAATGGCTCTCCCCCCGAGCCTCCTTCTGGACGGCCTCCAACAATGTTGCCTCCAAGCCATGAGCTGCAGAAGCGAAGTGCCGGACTGTGGAGTTGGAAGGACATCCTTTCCCCGTTGCACAAAGTATACTCAGTATACTGTATGCTGCAGTATGCTGTATACTCCGGTCTCTAGCCACAGGGAGACGCCAATGCCAACAAGTTTAGCCGTTGGCACTTGACAAGGAGATCAACTACAGGCCTTGTAGGACTTCCCAACGAGGCAACACATGACACAGTCGGTCCGTTCCGAAGCATGTCGCGCAGTGTACACTTCAGCGGCAGCCTCATCGGGATAGCGCAGTCGGATGATGCGCACCTAAGTGACAGTCTAACCGATCCTGCAATAGCCACGAGGTATCAGCGCAAAGGCGAGCACAGGCGGAGCAAATTCAGGATCAAAGTCTGCCTGAAACAGCTCACATACTGCCGATCCAGTGTACCAGCAGAACGCTAACACCAGGTGTGGGGCCTTCTCTGCAGCCTTTGCCAACTCACGCTCCTGACACGGCCCAGCAAAAGGGCAGCATCATCCCTTCGCTGCTCTTCGATGATCCTCTCTTTTTTTTTTTGGACCCTCAAGTGCCGCCACGTGCTGCAGCCACGCCCAGGCCCTCCTTTGGCCCTCGGCTCGCCTGGCCTCGGCCTTGACCACCGGCGTGGCCTCGCCCTCCAGCCAGAAGGGAGCCAGCAGAGAGCCCAGCCGGGCCTCCCAAAGAAGAGGACCAACGAAGACTCTTCAAAGTTCAACACGGCCAACACGGCGCCTGCTGGCTCTCCTCGGAATCCATGAGCTGCAGCAGAGAGGAGGTGAAGCCACGCAGGGCCGCCTCCGAACGTCCGAACGCTCGCACACGATGCAATGCCTTGCCCCTAAAGCGCTGCCCTTGCGCCTCCCAGCTTGCAAGCTGCCTCAGCTCCGATGGGTATCCCAGCACCAGGATGCCCTTTGGCCTGCAAAAAGTGAAAGGCTCTCACGTCGCCATCTTTTCTGGCTTAGGCGATCGCCTCACAGGTTCCGGCACCTCCTCCTTCTTATCCTTCCCCTTTGGCTTCCTGGGCTTCGACTGGAAGGCAACGCAGGGTAGAAGCAGACGCTGCAGACGTGCGGCTTCTTCGGGTCTTCCTCCTCCACCTGAGCTTCAGTTTTACCCTACAGCCGTGCAGAGCACACCCATCCCATGCTCTCCACGGTCAGAGGCCACAGCCGGTTTCGGTGCCGGAGCCGAGAGCAACTGGCGCGAGAAGACAGGAGCAAAAAGCTGAACGAACATGGTGATGTTGCTGCTTTCGCCAAAACGGGGGTGCCCAGTGCTTTAAAGTACTTTAAAGCAGGCCTCAATCTTGCGGAAGAGCATCTCGGCTTGAACCCCTGGAGATACGCCGGGCCTGGACCATTCCGCGTTACTGCGTCGCTCTTGCAAGTGTGAGTGGTGAGGTGCAAGGCATTGCAAGGCATTGCAAGGCTGCATCGCTTCATATGCTGAGCCACCCGCGGCCCCTGCGATGCCTCTTTGCCGAGTTCTCGCATCCGTGCCAGAATAGGCCAATCAGGCTCCTTCCAGAGAATGCATGATATGCCTAAGAATGCGTCCCCTTCAGAGGACCTGGGGGGGCTTCTCGGAGAGCGCAATGCATTCGCCGACGACCTGGTTCAGCATGTTCAACCCTTTACCGCCGTCTGGAAAGAGCGTCCCCGAATGCCTCCGAGGGCCTGAGGACAGCATATCCGAGCTCCTCCAAAGCATTGAATGGCACGCCAAAGAAATCCAATCCAATCGGCCAAGCCCTTGCCCCATGTCGTGCCTGACTCAGGCGATCTACCAGCGAGTTGCACATAGCCGTAGACCGACCTGCAAACAGACAGGTTTTTCTATGAGCAGTGGCAGCAATCCGGGATCCGCACCAGATACCAGCCCAACAGGACTGCCAACGAGAGCGACCACAGGCAGAAAATCACTGGCAAGCTGTGCCTCCCAGAGAAAGCACCCAGGGAAAAAATAATGACCACAATAGGAGCATGTGTTGTTGGCATGACTGCAGCTCGGACAATTTTTCCAGGCATTGATGTTGCAAGAGGGAAATTTATCAATCAACACCAAAGCGATTGTGTGGCTCGCATGGTCTACTCTCATTGACAAGCCAACATGTGCATAGCAAGAGGGCTTTGATAATCTTGGACATTGCTGTGGTTCACTTTTTCGTAGGGATCTAGAGTGTACTCCAACAGGCAAGATGGTCCGAGAAGGAGTCCCCCGTTTAGTGCCGCTCACTTAGCCCTGCAAGTCTCGGGCCAAGACGGATGTGAATCAGGGTCATAGCAAATTGCTAGGCGTCGAATCATCCTACAGGTGCTCCTTCCAGAGCACACGATCGAAATCCATCTGTGAAAGTGAATGTTGTTCACCTCACAGGCACTAGTTGGGAAAATACAGCAGCCGGGCTTTCTTTTTCGCTGCCAACTTTTCAACACTAACGAATGCTAGCGAGGAACTATAACCCACTCAGCGACAGTTCGTAGAAAGTCCTCCTGGCTGCCAGCCTAAGCCAACACCTAGGCACTGCAAGGTGACAAACGCCGACTGCAGCCCGCACCCTTCAACGGAGTGCGGACAGTCAAGCTACTGCATTAGCCCAAGTCGCGATAGAGGCTCTGACTGCTTTTTGAAAACTGCCGCAGGTGCCTATGTTGAAGTACCTGCTGTCTGAAAAGGGAACGACATCACGGCCAAAATTCAGAGCCACACGAGGTATTCTGTATTCTGCACAGTCATCTTGAGTACAAGATTACCAAGAGGCAGTAATTTGCTTACTGCCTTTCAGACGCCGCAGCGTTGGCACGGAGCTTTTCTGCTGCTTGCGCTTGCTCGCCAAATGCTCATTATTTTCGACCGCTGATGTGACTGATTTGAGAAGCTGCTCGCACCTGCAGTTGAAGGAGGTTGCAACATGTCCGTCAACTACGTCGTGTGGAAGAGGTCTGGCCTGTGGCACACGGCATCCACGTCTGCCTGTGTTGCATACTCGTCAGACACCTGTTCACAGCCGAACCCGCAAAGACTCCGACGCAGAGACAGAGCCAGAGCAATGCAGGGCAACGCAGAGCAGTCGCTGCCTTGGTGCCTCTCACATAGCTGGGCTTTGTTGGCTTTCTCGGTGACTTTGCTGCCACAGATGTCTGAGGCGCCTGCTTAAGTTTGCAGCGGCAAGCTAAGCAGTGGATCTCTCAGGCTCAGGATAAGGCATAGGTTGCATAGCTCTCGTCGCTTACCAGGCTCTCCATGGTGAAGTTCCTGCGCACAAAAAAATGCAGAAAAGAGCCCGGAAGGATTGGATTTCTCATGCTTTGCACCTCGGCAAAACCGGCTGATCTCCAGACCAGGCCGTGGAATCAGACGTGGACCTTCACCAAAGGGCTCTGCCCCAGGCGGCACCAAAGTACTGAACAGATTGTCGTGCCTGGTGGAGGTTGGGGTGCTGGGATCTTTGCAATCCTCAACTGCGGATACAGTGGACAAAGCTTCACAGCAACAGACTTGCCGGCCTTTGGCTTGGCCAGTCCCTCGGCCAAGGCTAGTCGCTCCGCTAATTGCCTGGTGCATGCCTTGTCGACCGAGTCTTTGAACAGCTTTCAACTCTGCGACTCTGCTCCGAAACGGCCTCGAGCGCTTCAATTCGTTGATCCTTCTCCGCAAGACTCTGCTCTGCCTTCGGGCGAAAACAACTCTCCCCAGCAGACAAAGCCACGCAGGCAACAACACGTTGCAAAAGGAAACCCCAACCACGCCTGCTGCAATCTTGCCAGGAGACTTTCGGATCCATCGCTGGTCAACGGCTTCTGAGAAGATGTGCCGTCAGTACTCGTCTCCGGTGACACTGGGCCAGAGCCGGTCTTCATTTGTTCTTGCATGCAAGACCAGCTTGGAAGCGGATTGCTCAAAGGAAACAGGAGCGGATTGCTCCTGGAGTACCGCTTTCCAGCCTCGACGGGGTGTAGGCGCAGTCCGTAACAGAGTACATCCACTGCTAGCGTTGAATCAAGCTCCAGACTTCGCTGCTGCATTGCCGCGTGGGCGACTTCAGAGGTGCAGAGCTCGGCAAAAGGCTGGGAACCTCCCCGGCATGCTGCACTGCAGCACGCTGCAGCACCCACGTCTAGGCAAAGCCAGCTGGAGCCGCGGCCTTTAAGGAGGACAGGGGCTCCGAGGAGGTGCATCGTGCACGCCTGGAGGTACCTGCCCATGGCAAATCAGGAGACGCGGCACAGCTTTCTGCCTGCAACCCTCTGATGCAGAAACTGCCCCCTGTAGCGAGGTATGTCGATGTATCACACTTCTGCGGGAATGTCCTTAAGAGCATGGAGCCATAGGGTAAGCATCGTGTTGCGAAGTGGTGCTTGCGGCGCGGTTGGGAAATTCCAAGGGGAAGACATGGGGCCATTGGCCAGTGCTTTCTGATGTCAACCGCATGGGGCCTTCATCCAACTCGAACCACGCTGGTGGCGCCTCGCGGACGAGCCATGTCAAAAAGCGAGTCCAAAGACCCTGTCATGCGCTCTGAGGCAGCTGCCCACTCTATAGCTGCGTCGTATCTGGCAGCGGCAGCGCTCATGATCCGCGTGCCTGACCAACAAACTTGAAATGCAGCTTGCAGAGGCTCGCAGAGGCTTGCAGAGGCTTGCAGAGGCTTGCAGAGCTGCCGAACAGGTGGCCTGCAAACCGCAGGCTGCACCTCTTGCATGGTGCAGATTCGCTGGAGCCAGATTGCAAGCCGGTACGAAAGGAAAGGGCTTCTTGCCGACGAGCATTGCCAAGTGAGAGATGCCGGAAAATGTCCATGCTTGACAACACGAAACAAGGACTTCAAGCCTTCAAGCTTCTTGACGGGACATGCGGGACATGCCGGCATCTTTCCATTTTCTTCGCAGCGCGACCACAGTGTAGTTCACGCCGGTTTCGTTTCGGCGAGAGCCTCAAACTGATCTCATCTCTGATTTGTGTTCAGATGCAATCAGGCTTCCATGACTGCCTACATCCGCCAACATGTATTCCCTCGCAAGGCCCGAAACACGCAGTTCAGAGCACCGCCAGAGTTTGCAGCAGCGCAAAGAAAAAAGAATGCACATGGTTTTTCATAGTTTCCCGACTCGAGCTTGTACTTGGGCAGCAGCGGGCACAGCCGGGGCACGTACACATCCCTTTCAGTGGTGGGCGGACATCCCTTTCAGCGCTCAGCGGGCCAAGTGCACCCTTCTACAAATAAGCTCGAGAGATGCTTCAAAAAGAGAAGAGCCGGACCGCGAAACCTGACAAATGAAAGACCGCGAAAGCAGTCTAGCAATACTATCATGTTGTCTGTCTTCAGCCAAACATGTCCATGATCGAAACCACCGGCACACGACAGTACCTTCAGGAGCTGATCAGCCAAAGGCCCGCACAGAAGCCAAAGAATATCAGTACTTTCACAGGCTACACAACCAGAATGCCACCGAACTCGCGGACCACGGCTTGCTTTCATGCAAGCACATCTTTGCCAGACTTCATGGACTTCGAACAACAACTTCGTTTTCCTTGCGAGCGAAACTGCCGCTTGGACGTCCTTGGCGAAGTGTGGGTGCCGTTTCACTGGCTTGTCTAAGCTTACGAGGCACATTCTCGGGAGAACCCAGGGAAATGGATGTTGGGAGTGCAGAAATGGATGTTGGAAATGAGCCCTAAACAAACATCCACTAACGCTCTGAACTGGAAATGGGGTGCAAACTGAATGTGGCCACTGTGTTCCCTTTTCTGCTTTGCGTGCCGATCGTTGCAAACTGTGGGTTTCGAATGAACGGCCCTGCAATGCCGGGCCATAGGTAGGCATACATCGTCCCAAACCGAAACAACGCAGCTCATGTTGGCATGGGGAGGTACGAAAGCCACATCCAATTGGGCATCCATTTTCTGGGGGAGGTCTGAAAGCCACATCTATTTTACATCCATTCTCCCAAGGGGCCGGAAATCAACTTCCACTCCGGAACATCCAGTTTACATCCATTTTCGCTAGAAACATGCATGCAAAATGGATGTTGGGCGGGGGCTCCGAAAATGGAGGAACATCCATGTTACATCCGTTTTACCTGGGGAAATGGACCGAAAATTGGTGTTGGGCGGGGGTTCCGAAAATGGACGTCCATTGGACATCCATTTTCGGACAGCCCCAAAAATTGATGTTCAATCAGCCTCCCCATGGAAGGGGAGAGGGGGGAGGAAGGGCACTCTGGTCACGGGTCACAAGCCAGGCTGAATGGACGTTGGTTTCACACATCCATGTTGCAGCCATTCTGCGAATTTCCCCGATAGCTGCTATAGCTGTTTTCTGCACGAATGTGCCTACACAAGTCTAAGCACGTCTTCAGCCATCCACCCAGGCGGGTTTCCGGCTTCGCATCGCCTTTCATCCCTATCCGAGCTCGAGCTACTCCCCTCTCGTCAGGAGCCCTGTCCCCAGCGAATCTCAGCTGCTCACTTGTTGCACCTCCCCTGCCCAGTGAAATGTGAGCTCCACGTGCGCGGGTTGCCTGAGCTCAGTGAAGCTCCCGCTACTTCTCACTAACACAAACATGTCGTGTCCATGGCTGGGACATCGGCGAGGCATCAGAAAAGGTGTCCATCTGTAGCCAGCTGTGGTCCCGAGCTGCACTGGAACTCAGGCGCTCCTTGCAAACAGGTCGACAGCAACTTCAGCCCCGCAGTTTTGCCCAGGGCGGTGGCGGTTTGATCCCCGAGCGTGACACCTTTAACCATGCCTGAAAAGCTGAACCAAGAGAGAGATATGCCGTTATCCAAATTGTTGGCAATGGAGTCTTCGACATTGACGAGTCTGAAACCCGAACAAAGCCGTGACTCCCCTATGGGCCAGCCCCAATGGGCCCACGTTCCCACGGGGACAATGGGCACATCTTCCGTCTGAACGCATGCAAGTATGCATGTATTCATGAATGCATGCATGTACGCAGGTGGATCTCCTATCTGAACCCAGGCCCCTCATCAAAGGCTATGGTTTTTGTCCCATATCTTGACCTCGACCCTTCACGAGGCGATGGCGATCGATTGCATTTTCGTAACCCCACCCCTGACTAGAGGATGGCGGTTCATATCGTATCTTAGACCCGATTCGTCATATACGCACGGTCGGTGCAATATGATGATTTCGCTCTTCATGAGGCGATGGCGCGTGCATGCATGTATGCGTGGATGCATGCACGCATGTATGCATGTGCGCATCTATGTATTTACGCATGCTACCCAGGTGGATCTCCTATCTGAGACCTCATTCATCTGGCGATAGTGATTGGTCCCATTTTGTTAACCCGACCCCTCGCTAGACCATGGAGGTTGACTTCATGTCTTAAACTCGATCCGTCATGTACGAAGCAGCGTGCATGCATGTGTGGTGCAGCGATGCCAGGCCCCCCTCCCCGCCCCACCCCATGGTATCCCTCCCTCCCTCCCCCTGTGATTCCCTGTGGTGTGGGCCCCCTGTCCCTCCCTCGAAGATGGCGATGATGCTGAGAACAACGATGCTGATTTGCTTCTTACATGCTGGTATTCCGAATGTGACTGTTGGTAGCACCACTGCTCCTAATCATGCTGTTGTGCCCTTAAGTACCGCATGTTCTTTGGCTTTGATTTGTTTGAAAAGCTTGTTTGGCTCGTTCTTTCGTAGATTTCGTGGTTTGTATCGACCGTTGTCATTCTGTGCTCAGTTTCGGTTGGGCGCGTTAAAAGTCAGCCGGAGCATGCGCCTGGTTAGACTTCCATTCAGGACTCTTGAGCAAGGGACCGGAGGCCATCATTCTCATCTTGCGGGAGGGGGGAGGGTTGCTTGATGTTGCGCGAGAGTTCCAAAAGAACGCCGACAGTTACGAGGATGATGACACGGACGAGC